ATAAAAATACAGGTTGAAACGCGTTACTTCCTTGTGGAATGTGATGTTAGTATCTATTTTATGTTTGTCTGACGTATTTTTACACTCATTTACCGCACATTTCGTCATTTTTAGCTAAAATTCTGGAGCTGTTCGCGGTGCAAGTTCACCTTGAGCACTGAAGGCCCGCCCGCTCGTGTAGGCCCTTTTGGCGCGCTTCAATTTGCTTCACTTAGCGTGTGCGGACTAGGTTTCTATGCGTTATTATTCTAAGGATAGTACCTATATAAATATAAATTGTTACAATATGTCATTATTTTCAGTGCATGTGTTTAACAAGAGGACCGCTCTCCAAATTCAAGTTGATAGGGAATATACACTTTCCCAAAATAAAGGTAAATAATGTTAACTTTAGGAAATGAAACTATTTTTAAACCGACGTTTCGGGCCCTTTACAGGTCCCATGGTCACGCATAAATATTAGACATAACTGGTTGAAGACTGTACCACCTCAGTCAACCGTGACCATGGGACCTGTAAAGGGCCCGAAACGTCGGTTTGTTTGAAAAAACAAATATACGCGATTTAAATTCGGAAAAATAGTTTCATTTCCTATGTGTAACAATCGCGAAAACCTAAGAACTGAATATTAACTTTTTTATAAAAAAAAACTGCCCTCAAATGTTCGTGGAACTATTTATTATTTATCATATCTATTTGCAAAGTTTTATTGAAATCGGTTACCGGATAGCGCGCGAAACCGGATTCATCCCCAAGGTTGTCACCCTTACAGCACTTCTTGGCCGTGGACCACGTGACTGGTTCACCTGGGTGGACCACGGGCAATTCTTTCTTCCCGTGGGTCACTTATGTCCATCAGGGTAATTGCCTAAGTGAACCTAGAGATTATTCTTTTCTCGTGAATCGCCTTTAGAGGTAGAATATTTCCTTCAAATTGAAACGGGACCAATACTGAGGTACCCTCCTTTCAGTAAAAAAAAACCGCTTAACATACAAAAAAAATACTGTCGAATTAAGCCTCCTTTATTTGAAGTCGGTTAAAAATAAAAACTCTCCTTAATTCCCGCAGCTACCATATCGTATCCTATACTCCAGCCAAATTCGATGTAGAATAAATGTCAACAAACAAAAACGTATGATTTTTAGGGTTTTCACCTCAGACTCTTTCACAGTTACTATACAATTTCAATAATTTCCTACGAAATTCAACTAGATTGTGGATAATACTAAATCTTGAAGCCATGTTTATAATGAATATTATTCAACAGAAGTTTCAAATCACCTAAAAATGACCAGTAATTAATTATTTGTAAAACTGTGTCATCCCTAGTGACTTTTTGATTTGAAGTGAGAGATTGCAAACATTCGAGTTCTAGTGGTAATTCAAATTCAGAATCGGAAATAGATGCTGGATGATTTTAAATGTGGTAAAGTAATATCAAATAAAATCTTACAATTTTGTTTCTTTTCATCTACCATTACCTACCATCTAGCAGTAAATATTAATAGGACGCAAAGACTTATTTTTATTCCTAAATCATACGTATCAATAGGTATTTTGTAAATTTTATAATAATTGTCTAAGTAAGTATTACTTCTACATAACCCAATTACTTACCTATTTAAATTCTAATTAAGGAAGCAGGCCGTGGGCAGAGCAAGCCTTAATAATGAGCATTGAAAAAAATGTTCTTTTCCTATGCCATCATTGGTTGCCTAGCAATGTTTTGTTATTAAACATTCTACATCGAATTTGGCTAGAGTATAGTTTGTACATTCCACGAGTGACATAAGTTTCATTATGCTCTGTACAGCGTCAAGAGCACGTCAAGCTTGACACTTCAGATTTAATCATTGCCGCTTACGATAAGAACGCGTACAAAGTGTCAAGCTTGACGTGCTCTTGACTGTACAATTTCTTTATAAATATTCATTTCAGTAGGGCTGCACGACTGGGCGTGACTTGCATGAGAGCCTAACGTCTGTCGGCTTACTTTCTCAAACTCGTATCTTAAAGCACAAAATTACTGAAATGCAAAAAGTGTAAATACAAATTTTGCAGGCTGATTTTATCACATTTCCTTCATATTATTCACATACTGGCTTTTACCTAAGCTTAAAGTAATGCGCATCCAAATTAAGACCCTTGATAAGATATTTAAAATAATTAGGAAGTTTTGTCATCGCCTAAATAATCACTCTATAAGATACGATAGTAGATAGTAGCGGTAGAGATGCTTGTGAAAGAGTTTACCTATCTATTTCTCACCTTATCTATTTCTGCCGCCAACAGCAGGCACATGGGGCTTGTCAACTTATGTCTCAGGGTGACGAGCGCAGTGACAGTACCACTCGGATCTTTGCGATTGAAATCTCTGAGTGGCACTGCAACTGTTATGGACAGGCGTGTAGCTTAATATCAGGTGCACGACTTGTTCGTCCCGTCACTTGATATTATAAAAAAAATACGAGTTTGAGGTAGTGTTGGGTAGGACATGAAATTAAAATGAGTTTGAGAGAGTACCTCATCTTAAAAAATGAGGCGGTACAATGTCCTACTTCAAATGAGGCGAGATAGTGGTAAGAATGTTTACGGCGGCAACTCAGCAGACAGGGAATATTAAGCACATTTCCATAACTTTGATGGTATCAATCAATTGGATAACTTAAGTGTTATGATATAATATAAATAAATGCTGATTTTATTTAGTACTATGGTGGTATGATCATGTGATGTAAAATAAGCTAAAAAGCGGGCAGTGTAGGACCAATCATTGTTGCATTATTTTGTTGAATACGAACCAGTGTGACATGAGTGAGGCTGTGACATGAGATGAGGTGTGAGGTGGGACATTTTTATGACATGAGGTGTTGTGACAAACTAACCAAGCGAGTGATACAAAAGAGTTGCCTCGTGTATAAGTAACTCAACACTAGTTTGAAAAAGTAAGATATCGATAATGCGTGGGATGTCTACGCAAGTCGCGCACTGTGGTGCTAACCCTACTGAAATGTGAATAGAATCTTCTACTGTTCGTTTTCTGTCTTCAGGTTACCGTACCCCGCTACGTAACTCCACCTTCACCCGAGACATCGACTCTGTGCCCACCTTGCATCTGTCCAGACTGCGACGGCGATCACATCGGGGGCGCTCTTATGGACTACAATCTGTTATGATATATCTAATACACTTGATTGTATTTATAATTAAATATTTTTAATTGATATGGAAAACATATCAATTAAATTGTGTGATTTATAGACAAAAAAATAACACATGCAATGTAACATTCGATTGATTTGCACTTTTTCTAAAGCCACATCCCTTAATGCTGCAGCGTCGCACTTTTATTAATACCTAATTATTCTCACTGTCAATATTTTTGTTTAATTTAATTATAATACATGCGAATAATTCAATAGTACATTTGGAAAAACATTTGTTTTGACATTTGATGTACTTTCCTTTGACAACGGTATCATATACCTCACTTCACTTTTTATTTTTATGGCTCCATCAATATGAGAACTGATGATTTTGCCAATGTCACAGTTGAAAGAAAAAAAACGAAACAAAAAAAAAATTTTCATGTACTGCGAAATGGACACGGTTGGCATTTAAGATTACGTTACGTATTTTCGATTCCCGTGTTTGACACAGACCAATGTAAGGCTATCTCTTTTGGCTTAAGACGGCACGTAATTGTTAAACATAGACAATAACATGTTTATGTTTTCGACGTCGAAATGCATCCTAAACATATAACGTCTGATTTATACATGTCAACGTAACATGTCCTTTAGTTTCCATAGTCTAAGCGAGGAGGCGATTAAGTTGCTTGCGAATCTCGTATATGACATAATCGTAGGCGATATTTTAGGTCTTGCCTGAATGTAAACATTATGATACGATAATCTTATGGCGATTATTGCTTTCGATAATCGCGTACGATTTATCGTCACGAAGCGTGCTATAAGCTCTCTCTATCTAAATGGGCCTTATCTATGTTAATTCATTAGTTATATAAGCATAATCTATTTCACCGACTAACTCCGTAAACGCTGTTGGATAACGATATCGTAAATCGAACGTTTAATTCGAATGTTCTTGGAAAACGCCCTTCGATTCGAGAACGATATCCAATCTAACGATTCGGTTAAAATATCGAAGATTTCTGAATCGGGATAACGATTTCCGAACAACTGGAGCTACCTGTCAGCGCAGCACTACATCATGCGACGTAGCGCAACCCATGGACGCAAATGGTTGGTAGGATGAAGTCACGATCCTCAGCAGTGAGGAGGCGATTAAGAAGAGAAGTTTCAACATGGTAACTTTATTAAAATCATAACAAAACCTTATAAGTAAACTAATTAAAAAACTAATAATAAATATCTTGACACTGACAAATTGGACCATATCGGAAGAATACATTTATCTACTTATAGGTAGTAACAAGGTGGGCGTATCCATTAGGCGCAGTATTTGGTGAGTCACACTTATCTACACGATTAAGTCGATCAGAACAGGCTCTATATCCAGGTAACTACACCTTTCTACCTTTCCTGTACATCTGGACAACTCTGGACCATCATCGATGAGCACATTACGACGATGGCAACCATTATAGTGCATACCATCGATATGATAAGAAGAAAGAACAGAGACAGAGACGAGAGTCCTTTACAAAGAGGACCTTGAATCTTTAATTCTCTTCGCTGTCATATTTATAATTTCAGAATCAGCATTACTAGAAGAATAAACAGTAGGGCGCGACATATGGATTAATTCTAAATTAATGCTCTCCTTAGATTGTTTAAGCCCAGGATCTGATGATACGCAAAGTTTTGATTTCCTTCTAAATAAAGACAAAACATTTTTTAGTACGTGGTTTTTCGACGTTTTGCTAGATACAGACGATATGGTTTTGCTTTCCATAGAATATTTCGATATGTCTTCGCTAGCTAAAAATATCATTCCACGCTCGGAAAGAAAATCATCCAATGAATCATTCGTGAAAGAAGCTTGGGCTCCTTTTTCACTTGAGTGACTTCTAATCTCACATTTTACTTTCGGACATGTGAAAACTTCACGGCTTTCATTAGCTGGCATAAAGCCTGTGACGTTTTCATCTTTATATTCATTCTCAGAGGCCTGTGACCGATGTAAGGACGTCTGTGTACTATCACATTTATGATCGTAAAAACAATCTGAGGAGGCTTTTGTGAAATCAGGTTGTGGTTCTTCACCCATGTAGTTAAAACTGTGGCATTTTAAAATCCGTTCAGATAGAACAATATCGGAGTCTGTGTATTCTTTGGGTTCCCCTGATTTAACTTCGGGTTTGTGCAAAGATTTTTTCAACAATTTACTGGATTTACTATTAGAATTCTTTTTAACTTTAAGTTTTTCGTTTTCGTAATTTACTTTCTGATTAATAGCATTATTTGTAGTATTATAGACACTATATTGTTGGTACTCGCTAACTTGCATAACGCCCCTTTTAGCGTCTGTGTTTACATTGAATGGTGAAAATTCGGGTGAAATATCATGTGATTTTGTCTGATTTAATTCCCATTTCCTACGATTAAGGCATTTTGATAAAATGTCATCGCTGAGGCTAACCTTTGCCTGGTGCCTCTGACAAGACTTATAACATTGTATTTTCTTGTCCACATTAGAAGATTCAGTCATAAATTGGGACGTGGTTTCGGTTTCACTGTTACTTGTGCCAATCAAAGGTGTTGTCACTGACACGTCTTCTCCATAATTGTAGTAATGTCGCTCCAATTTATTTTTACAACGACATAATACATTATATGACATGAAGTATAGCAGCCAACATAATAAACAAAACTGGAAGACAGTTATGATAACCAGGCATAAAAGAGTGGTAAAATTCTGTTTAATATACCATACAATGCCATGCTCAGTTCTAATTACATCACAAACTGGTGTTGTGGTCATCATTTCTATTACTTCAGGAAATATGTATTTCGTAGTATCGTATATTTTATTTCCTGAAAATTTCTTTTTTGTTTTATAGAAATGTCCACTTTCCGCATAATCAAAAATGTCAGTAACCCTATCTTCATTATATATCACTTTTGTATTATTTTTTGGACGTATCCTCGTTTTTTTGACAATAACTATATCTTTTGGTACTCTTTTATTTTGATGAACTTTGCCTTTTATATAATTAAAATCATCTAGTGTAATAATGTTATCTTTAACGCACTTATTTGTTCTTGGATGATATATAATATCTGGTAAATTTTGGTTATCGTTTGATATACATTTAGGTACACTAATACATCTCTTTATTTTATTATCAAAGTAAGGTTTTTTGCCATTATAATGTACATCACAGTTCACTGGCTCACAATTGTTAAAAGAATCCTCGTCGATATTATTACAGTAACTAGCATAACCTTGATCAGTTCCGATATTCGTATCGAAGAATATTTTAACGCTGTTCCTCAATGTTCTCCGTTTTCTGTTAACCGGTTTTGAATCTAAAAACGCTGTGCAATAGCCTCTATAATTGAATGGATTCAACAATGGAGCCACTAGAGTCAATTCTTTTGACGAACCTGTGAACAAATCACCTTATAATTAAATATACACTATATCTTATAGCAGTGGAGCTTTTTCAGAAAGAGTGCACTCAGGGAAGTACTGCCACTTTATCTTTTCTACTAACAAGCAGTAATGTGAGTATTAATGCCTTCCGGTTTTGAAGGGTAAGAGTGCTGGTGAAATTACAGACAAGCTATGGTTTTCATCGATTTTGTGGTTACCAATTACGAAGCCATAGGTACATATATTAGTTAATACTTTCGTTTGGAGAAATGTAATGGATTGGTAGTCCTGCTATGGTATAATAAAACAAGTAGTGTATGGACGCCCATATTCGCATAATCTCGCGGTGCACTTGCGTTGCATTGCGAGAGTCGTCTCACGCGCCATTCTTTCGTTCGGTGTTTAAAAAAATGGCATCAAATAGTAGACGTGTTTTATTGTTGTATTTATGGGTCTTGGAACCAGAGTGCCTCAAATTCAGCATTTCATTTCTATTTTATAATCATACTCCATAAACAAGATACCAATCCGCGATGCTAGTATAAACATACCAACGCGTAGGTACCTCAGTAGGTACTGCTAAATGCAGTCATTTAACAAAGGTTATTTCAATATAGCACGACGGTATTGCGATGAACACCTTAATTCTTTTCAAATTATGTTTACAACCGGCCATCATCAACATAATCATATCAGCCGGAAGACTTCCACTGCTGAACATAGGCCTCCCCCAAAGATGCCAGACTAGCCGGTCGGACGTGACGTGCATCCATCGGTTACACACCGCCCTTACCATGTCATCAGTCCATTTAGTAGACGGCCGTTCCACTGAGTACCTTCCGGTTCGTGGTCTTCATTCGAGAACCTTTCTGCCCCAACGGCCGTCAGTTCTGCGAGCTATGTGCCCCGCCCACACAAGTTGCTAATCCTTTGAGCTATGCCGGTGACTTTCGTTCTTCTACGGATCTCCTCATTTCTGATTCAATGACGTAGAGAAATACCGAGCATTGCTCGCTCTATAGCTTTGAACTTGTTTATGAGGCCCATAGTGAGTGACCACGTCTCAGCGACGCAGAATTTAGCGACAAAATATAATTATAAAATATTTGGAATATTTATTTATCAACCTCTGCAGTTTGTAGTTAACAAATAAATACATTTATCTTATTATGATACCTAAATTGCTATTGATCTCAATAAAGAACTTAATAATATCCTTTCTTTCTTTGGATTTTACTCTTCGCAAACTTGTAGTGTTACCTTTTTTCTCGAAGACTTTCAGCATTCTCCGGGATCCAGCAAATACCAGGATCCCGCGGGATCAGAAACTTTTTAATCCCGCAAATACTGGGACTGAGATTATCCTGCAGGATTAAATTCCCTAGCCATAAGTGCGTCCTGCCAGCCCGCGTCATTGATTATATACTTACATTTCAGGCTTTGACGGATTTTAGATTTAAAGACATCCTCCAGTTTTCTGAAGGCGGCCTGCCCTACTTGCTATTATTATATTGCTGTGTGTCTTTCAGCGCATTCCTTCGAGTTGTAACAATATATAGCAAAACCTTTACCTTTTGGTATTACATCCGCACATTCTCCGAAAATCTCAACAATATCACAATTTAATTTTTTGTCAATGTCCACACAGCATTCGTCTGGTACAAAGGTGACTTCAAAATCATCTATTTGTGATGTATTATTCACATTAGCTTTAAGTTGCAAACCTACAGTATTAGGTACAACAAAATAATTACTAGTCAAAATTTCCAGTTCGATATTCCTAGCTGCGTTTACTAAATGTAAAATTGACATAATAATATAACTTAGATTATAAATATATTCGTACAAATTCATTTGGTAATATATTTTCTAAAATTAATGCCATTATATTGACACACCTAATGTTGGCTAGATGACACGTGCAATACCAAAGACAAAATTTTAACAGACTGTTAACATATTTTTTTCCATTCTCGAAGGTCTGTTTATGCCGCTAGCTATATTGCGAGCATTACTGCGGGAAGGACTTTAGAATTCGTAACATATCTTCATATTTTATGAGAGGGTATTCGTCGTGTAAAGAAACAAAAGTGAGGAGTAATTAATAGATTCAGGCGTTACTTTGCGGAAGTCCATGTTAATAGAAGATTCTCTTCGGCCGAGCGTCAAGCAGTCAACGGCCCCTGAGGATGCCTCGTGGAGAGGCGAAACACGTGTCGGGTATATTTTTGGTGGTGGTTTGTGAAAAAATATTCAATACAAGCGCAGCTATTTGGCACGATTCAACCTTCACTGGGTTTGCGGAGTAGCAAATTGATTTACTTCCATTTTTATTAAAAGTGAAGAGGATGCATAGTTTTTTTGAGATTAACATTTTTTTTCAATTTTTTTTAAATAATTCTGAGTAGTTAAAAAAATCATCAAATGCAGGAGTGGAGCTGTAACCTAAAGTACCCGTGTACTTTATGTTAAAGCCTTAGAATAATAACGCATAGAAACCTAGCCCGCACACGCTAAGTGAGGGAAATTGAAGCACGCCAAAAGGGCCTACACGAGCGGACGGGCCTTCGGTGCTCAAGGTCAATTTGCACCGCGAACAGATCAAGAATTTTAGATAGTAACATCACATTCCACAAGGAAGTAACGCGTTTCAACTTGTATTTTTATATAAATATTCACTAAAACCGAAAATTAACCTACTACTAAAACTAGCCTACATGAATTTGATTTTTGCCTCACTTGTGACAGTTCGTTTGATATGAAACTATCATTCTATGCGTTATTATTCTAAGGTTAAAGCATTAAAAATAATAAAGTTCTTACTTGTAGGCCCATGTCGGTTCAAAGCTTAAGACTATAAGGATGGAAAAAAATGGCCCTTAGATCCTCTGAGGTGAAAAGACAGGAATGGACGAACAGGACTTAAAAAAACAAAGTTAAAATCAAATCCGTTTCGTTTCACCTACACAATTTAGATAATCTATCAAGTAATATATCTACTTTTTTAGAGTTCTAACGGCGTAAAGCCACACAGCCTATTCTTCATTAAAAATATGAATGCACCTACTTCCACAAATAAATCGATCTTTATCTTTATCTTTTTCATTTTACTTTCACTTTTCATTAAGATTTTGGTGACGGCGCTGCCGCAAAAAAGTCGTTGAAAACAAAAAACTAAGATCTGCAACAAGCACTTAGGCTTTCTGGCACGTTTACAGGAAAACATTGGTTCGAATCCAGCCAAATCAATGATTTTTTCTAAGTGTTCAATCTTTGTATTAATAATTATATTTTGAGCCATTAAAAATTTACCAGCCATTCTGATATCAGGATGGCTGGTAGCTACTTTGAAAGGGTTGTAACCCTAACTAGCCGGCAATGAAACGGGAAACTTCCGGTCCACAAAATTTATTAAAAGAAGTAAAATAAGAAAGGGCTGTAACAATAAAAAGGTAAATGAAAAAAAAACAGGTACAATAGTATAAAACACTCCCTACACTTTATGATTAAGGCACTTACCCCTAAAGGTGCCGAGTAACTGAATTACAGATAGGTACATGAAGGCTGTAGACTGTTATAGATTATTACAAATGATTTAGCTTATTTAATGACGATTATAAACGTAGTAAGGAACCAAAATTAGCGATTTTACGCGATGGAATTTGAAACAGCTCCGACTGTTGTGGCGGTCGAGCAGGGAGTGGCCGTGGTACGAAAACAAAATGAGAAAGTGAAAAAGAAGATGGAACAATTCGAATATAAAATTTAAATAGAAGTAAAAGAAAAAATGATAGGATAGAAGCGGAGAGAGGCGATAGAAAACGGTGAGATGACGGTGTAAGGAGGTCATGAAGAAGAGAGCAAATTTTCCAGAAGATTTACCAATCATATTATATAATATATATATGTATATATATAATGCTTGAAAATTTCACGAAGAAGTGCCTAATTAAATTATAAAAGCAAAAGTTTTTAGTGCGTTGTCATCATAATATAAAGGGTAGGCGTTCAACAATTATTTCAAGACCAACGAGTCTGGTGAGGTAGGTGATATATAAAACCGAGAAGGTATGTAAGCATCATAACGCAATATGAACTCGTGTCAATAAGTGGCATACCTTTTTTTTACCCCGGGGAATCAGATTCCCTATGCCCCGGCCCTGCGGGGCCAGGCCGGGTTTATGTGACTGGGCTGAACCCTGAAGGAGAACAACCCGATCGTATCAAAACCCCGCGGTATTCTTTGTCTCCGCTGTAGGTGGAGCGTTCGTGCCTCCACCAGCCATGGAACCAATTTTTCTATATCTTTGTTGCAGATCTTAGATCATAACGACATTTGTGAGAAATCTATTTCTTCACTCAGCCAGTTACCAACAGCTGCCTGAATTAGAG